ATTTTTTCTAGACTCTGACACTTGGTGAATAATCAGAGATAGCTCCAATTCTAGTTAGTTGATTTGTTGGCCTATCCAACTGGTGAAATATTCCGAGGTCTTTTTCTGGAAGTGTGTTTAACTCATCCATCAATGGCTGCAACAATAGCTGTTGTACAGGATATGTATTATGAAGCTGTAATAGTTGAAGAGCATAGTTAAAGGCATGCTTTATCAGTCTGACTTTGATTGACAGAATGGCAGCTTCCACTTTAAGGGCGTTGATTGGACTGCGCTGGTAAGCACCAGTGAAAAGTATTACTGCTTGATTCTGAAGTCTCTGATACTTATTGGTTAGTGTGCCTGACCCTCTTCTTCCCTGCCAAAGTATAGAGCCATAGTCTAACACTGATGTTACATAGGCTATATATAAGTGACGGAGTGCATGAAATTGAAGCCCTTTTGTAGATGAGGCAAGCTACTTCACTCTATTGAGGGCTCCATTGGCTAGCTGAAGCCTTTTCTCCATGAGTTTTGAAGGATAACTTTCTATCAAACCAGAACCCTAACAATCGCACCATCTCACTTGAATATAAAGTTTGACCATTTTGTAGTATAATTGTTGATGTGAGTGGCTTCCTATGTTGGGAGAAATGGATGAGCTCAGTTTTGTCCATCTCAAAGGTGACTGATAGCTTGTTTGCTCTTTCAATTAGATTATATCAGAAAACTGGTGAACCTGTCCTGTAGCAGGTGAAGAATATTTACGGGTATCAACAACTCAGTAGAAATAACTTGTTTCTTTCTTCCAAATATCGGTCCCCAGAAGTTTTCACTTCTCTAGGTGGACCGTGCGTTTAACTAGCTAATTTAAGGTAATCTATCACTTGACACCATATATATCCAAATGTGATCCAAACACCAAATTAACCTTAGATACTTCCTAATGTCTAACAGATCCCCCCATGACTTAAACACTATCCAGTCCTATTTATAACTAATATACACTAAATTGAGCATACGTACAAATTCAGCGTGTTTCTGTTTGCCTAAGGCTTTTATCATACCATCAGCAACCATTTCATGTGTACTTACCCATAAGACCTTGATCTTTTTAGACTGAACCTGTTCTCTTAGCCAGTGCTGATAGATATCAACAAGTTTCAGCTTTGCCTATAAAATTGGGTCTTCCTTGGTCAAAAGGCGTAAGGTCTGGATGTTATCATTCAAAATTTCCACTTGTTGTTCAGGATTAAATTTAATTCCGGAAAACACGCGATGTATCCAAATTAATTCTTTAGTTGCATGAGAAAGAGACAAAAGCTTAGCTACAGTCGATGAAGTTGTTACTGTTGCCTGTTTGCTTGAATTCCAATGAATTGGACCACCAAATTGTTGAAATACAAATCCCTGAACACTGCGACGTTCTTGAGTATTTAAAAAGGCTGCATCTGCTGAGCAATTGAGTGATTTTTCCGGGGAGTGTAACCCAGAATACTCAATACATAATCCTTTTGTCTCATAAAGGTAGTGTCGGAATACTTCAAGTGGACGGGTTTCGTGACAAGCTTGTTGTAACAATTTAGGTATCAATTAATTCCTGTCTAACGCCCTCCCTCCTAAGTAACAACTAATAATTACATTGGGGAGCCAATTTCTTATTCCCAGGGGGACTATTCTCAATACCTGTCAGTGGTGTCCCCTACGAACCTCCAGCTCTCACTGTAGAGTCTGCAGAACCGAGATTGAGTAACACCTTCTCAACTTTGAGTTGAGTTATCTCTCCCTCCGTCAAAAATATGCTTCCAATAACTCATAAGACGACAAAGACGACGATAATGATGCTGGGAATGAGGAGAGATAATGCGGTACAAAATGCTACAACGGTAGTTAGAGAAGCCCTCGTTATATCACAACATGTGCTACCCACCGGCGGGCGGACAAAAAGCCCACGAAAGCAAAGTAAAAGACCCTTCCGCCCTCAAGAAAAGCAGATTTCGACTCGTCTACTTTATCGTCCCTACTAATCATAAATTCCGAATCTACTAGCCAGGAGGGCATCTGAAATACATGAGTTACTCGACAACCCCACGTCCGTAACGACTTTTGGATGCTAGGCCAGGCTCCTTCGCGACTGTCACTCTCGACCAAGACTTTTCTGACATCCTTTCACGACCTACGATTTGTCCTGCGGCATGAATCAGGGAGGAGTAAGGAGGAGGCTAGGAAGGTTGAGAGACGCTCTTAGGTATACACAGGTCTGCTGCGCCCGGATGGCCGGCCTCTTCGTCATAGTAGAGCCCCGTACCCAGTGGTTTTTGAGACTTTTCCCTGCATCTACACACCCGTAAATGGCCATCGTTTAGTTGGCTGGAGAAGGGAGATAATGACGGGATAACGGCTCCTCTTAGTGTGTACTCGAATGAAGACCTGTGGGGGTATTACTGCTTGGAAGAAGTCGTGAAGGAGGCATAGACTCTCCCGGCCTGTAGGCAGAAAGGACCTACATGTCCTTACATTGTTATAGACTTTCTAGGACAATAAACACTCAGTCAAATTTCGCATTACCGAAGGAGCTGGCCCACGAGGCAATGATTAAAAATACTTCACCATATCAGTTTTTCACTCCCAAAGATTCCGACTCATACCTAAGCCTCATCAAGTCTTCAAGTACGACCAAGTACATCCTCATTCCAATGACCACATCTCTCGTCGACTTTCTCTGGCCTCAGCCGGTCACCAAATACACGCCCACGCCTATATTTATATCCGACGGAGAAAGCAAAGCGTGGTGCACAAATCTGGGGGATAGCTCTTTGGGATGGACGTGAGAGGGATCAGGACAAATTTACAAGATGGTGCAGAGGATGGATACAATCTTGACGGGCGCGAGATTCGAAATTGGACTACGAGTTCTACGAACTTAGCTTTGTGCGTGCCAAGGCTTCGATTGCGAGTGTGCAGCTGACACTATAAATACAAGCCGACGATGGAAGGTGTTGTGGTCCGCCTCCTGGTGGTGTTCTCCGGTATAGTTTGAGTAGCCTGGGCACCTACTTCACTTGGGAAGGAGACGCCTCAGATCACATATCGCGCGGAGAAAAGTTGAAAGATGATGGAGGCATGTCTGGATAACTCAGGGTTTCTGAGATGTTCCCCTGGGTGGGTATTCACGGATGAGGGTTGACTTGGGGTGAAGAAAAAGCCACCATAACTTCGCAGTGGTACTTGCAAATGAAATCTGAGGCATGAGTACTCTTCTTGTAAATTGAGTCATCTTTTCTGTGCTTTTCTATGATATTGTGTCATAGCTAGATAGCTGCATATGCAATTAAAATCTGATGCAAAAAAAGGCACTTACTGCATAGACCATACAGAGCTGTGAATTAAGACTATATGATATCAATCTAATTTCATTTAGCCCGATCAGGTACTCCATGGGCCCGTGCAGGTATATCAAGCCAAAATATTTACACAGGATGAAACCAAATTCGGTAATAACCCCCTAAAACTGTCTGTCTCGCGTCTATTGGTTTTATAAGTTTTCCTGTAGGAAGTGCGTTTACAATGTCCATCCAGTGGGAATTGCGTCCAATCTTTTTCCTGATAGCGTCATCCTTTCATTGACGGCTGTATAACCTTCTTCTGCAAGCCGGAACAGTTCAAGCCGACCGTTACTTAGTATCCACTCTGTAATTCTCTTCATGTCATCCGGGCTGTTCATCATAGCTTCAAAAGACCTATCTTTTGCAGTCGCAGCTCCTCTCCTCTTCTCTTAGCCTGCTGAGGATAAGCCAGGACCCTATGTGTCACCTTTTGTAGCGGATATACACACTGGCAACTTGGATTGCCACTCCGAGGACCTTTCTTCTTTGTGGATAAGAGTTGAGGCCAACATGCCCATCTCTCATCTGTATTGCAATACTGCTTTATGCCCTGCTCAGGTTATATGATATAGATTAGTTATTCTTCTAAAAATATATATGTTATCGATATACAATCTTCGGAATCCACTGTATCAGAAATATTATTATTTGAGGACCTAATTGCCTCTAGATACCTAGAATGCTAATTAAGAAGACACAGGTGTTATCTGTCCATAATTCTGAGCCTGGTAGTATCCAGCTGGAAGAACAACGTGGCCTTTCGTGCAAATGTAAAAATATGAGTAGACGTGAAGTAGGAGATCAGGCAGATATATATAGGTATAATTAGCCCAGAGTGAACACGGGCATTTTAAACGTAGTCGAAGGAGTCCTCACATTCAAAGAACATCAAGCGCGCCAAAGGAATACACGTATACTATTTCTCGCCATCCTCCCCTAAAGAAAGAAAAGCTGTGGACCTTGTTTCGCGGAGAGATAAGTAAATAGACGATGGAGGCCTGCCTGGATGATTTAGGGTTCTTAAGACTTTTCCCTGTTGAGTTATTACGAATGAGGGCTAGCCTGGGGTGAAGAAAAAGCCGCCATAACCTCGCCATGGCACTTGCAGATGAAATTCTAGGCATACGTGCTCTACTTTTATTTTGATTCACTTTTTTGTACTTTTCTGTACTTTTTCTCTGTTATCGTGCTGTTGCTAGTAAGCTGCATACGCAGTTTTGATCTGATGCAAAGAAATAATCCCCTCTAGTCAATGTCCTGTGCGGCCTGGACACCGATCTCTATTGAAGTTGGGTATCGTTGAATCGATTCTAAAAACATTCAACAATATCATACTCCAACGTTTGTGTACAAGATCATCATTATATGCCTGGGATATGCTTTTTTAAGATCTTATCATTGAATTCTCACAATCAAAGACTTACTGTTGGGTTAACAGACTTACTTTTGACAAGTTTTTGCGTACGAAGTCCGGGGCATGTATATTCCTAATTTCGAGACATTCGTTTAAAACGTATACAGTACCCTGATCGTGCTTCAAAACTAGGTAGCTTAATACAAGACGAATGCCTTAAATCGGCCGACATGGAATCGTCAACGATACTGAGAGTTTTAGCGATCGCAACACAAATATGTTTATGTTGTGTAAGTACCATGTGTGCAAGCTGGTGACGACTGAGATGCATCGTGATATTCATAACCCTGATGAGATTCGTTTAATCGAACTAGTATTCGGTCAAGATATTTCTAGATGGCGACTATGTGTCACTCACTGGTGTCAAAAATGACTCTGCAATAAACCTTGCGCGGGCATTAAGCTTCCGCCTTGTCAGTCGTAAAACTCGTAAAAGCTTTGTGGTGTGGCTTACAAAAAGCTTCATTTCAGAGATTTCCTTGTCAACTTCCTCCATAAACTGAATGATAAAATCAACAAGTTTGTGCTTCAACATGTCTTCCGTATGAAAGTTTGTTATGAGGAAAGAGATATCATATCCCTAGTCATGTCAAAAAAGAATTTCAAATAAAGGGAACTAACCTCAACTGGCTTTCTTCGTAGGATAAAGAAAGCTTCCGCTCTTTGGGTAAGGAACCTAGTGAACTTGTGCACAAGAATTTGTTCAATCTCATCAGCTTGCTTGATCATGATACTGATTCGAACGCTATTAAAGCTCGGCTCAATGAGGACTCGCTCGTATTCATTCCTCGCAATTGTGAGAGGATTTAATAAAACCTCAGGTGAAGTTCTTGCCTCAACTTCAGGCACGTTATGTCTTTCGGTGGTCTGAGATGCGAAATTGGATAGGCAGAGAGCAGAAGTTAGAGACGAGCGCACACATTTCAAGTATGGCCTTAAAGATTGAGACTATAGCCTTGATCAGCTTGGCCTGTAAACTCTAGTTCACAAACACGTTTACCATTATATACTGCTAAGCCTCAAACAAAGAAGCTATGATGAGTATCTTAGTGTCAACAACCACTTATTTCCTTTTCAACTGAGGGGATATACTTAAAGACGAAGTTTGTGGATTATGTTTTAGGAGAAGATATTGTTAGAAAAGAAGTCTGGAAGAGCAGCTTGAGCTGTTAGGCTTGTGTTTGATAACACCTAGTGAAGCGAGTTTGGAGATTGATGAGTATGGGAACTGTGGTGGAGAGTTGTTGATTAACCCAACTTAGTATCAGAGCGCTATTCAAACTAATTACTACAGCTAAGCGGGTTGGATGATGCAGTGGTATATTTCCAGTCCGCCCGATCCAAAGTGGGAAACTGGTGCATTAATGGAGATCTGCAATTGACCCTTATTTATGTTATATAATCTCTTCAGCGTAATTACATTCATAGGGAGTTTTAGGTTAGAAAGAAGGGGACAAGTTATATCTGACTTATTTACTTACCAATGTAACGGCTTGTAAACCTGTGGATCCACAAGATTCGGATCATAGTACCCCCATTTAAGATTCGGAATAATTATTGCACACTCACCACCTCTGTATTAATCCATTTTTGACCCATTTGAGTTTCTAACTATGAAAGACAGCTAGGAGGGCAAGACTGAACAGCTGTACGCGGTGTCCTCTACGAACCTGGGAGTGAAATATTCTCCCAGAGTCAAGTTCAGTCAAGTTTCGTAATATCGAACAAGTTGGCCCACGAGGCAATGATTCATATTACTCCACCATGTCAAATTTTCACTCCCAACGAGTCCGAATCCTATTCAAGCCTCGTCAGATCTACAATTACGACCTAATATATCCTCATTGCAATGACCACACTTCTTCTCGACTTTCTCTGGCCTCAGCTGGTCGCCCGATTCACGCCCACGCCGATATTTACACCCGACGGAGAAAGCAAAGCGTGGCGCATAAATCTGGGAGATAGCTCTTTGGGGTGGACGTGAGAGGAATCAGGACAAGTTGATAAGATGATGCAGAGGATGGATACAATCTTGACGGGCGTGAAAATTCGAATTTTGGCAAGGAGTTTTTACAAATTAATCTTTGTGCGTGCCAAGGCTTCGGTTGCAAGAGTGCAGGAGACCATCTAACCACCGCCATGGTTAGATGTTGCAGTGGCATGAGGTTTTAAGTTCCTAGGATGCTAGATTGATAAAATGTGAATATACGGAAATCGTAGGTCACGATGTCTCGGGATTTCTACTATATCTTCTATATAGTGAAATCTTAAGACGGTGTGTGACTCCCCCTCTAAATTTACAGGATGTGTCTAGTATATACAGGTTTCTAGCTTAGTGTGCATTATGCATAAAAACTGGGGTACACGTGACAAATTATAATACAATATTTATGATCCAGGATCCTCAATTATCCCTCTTCCTAAATCTAAGCTGTCGTCAGCTCTTTTCAGCCTGATCAATACCAACATTAGATCTCAAAAATTTTCGGTCTTGGTTAAGCATATTTTGGCTACTATACCACAGACTTTATACTGGGTGTCCATCGCGCACATAGGCAGGGAATAGATTTGTTCCGTTGTATCGGTTTACAAGTCTATAACCTCCAGGTGAAATTAATGAATAGGTATTATTCGCATGACAAGCAGCAATAGCCCATGGGCCATCGTAATAGGGCTCAAACTTTATGTCTTCTTTGCCTAGTACGCAAGACCCAGTCTCCTGATGTAAAGGTTCTCAGCAGTGCTTTAGATTCTTGCAAATATTCGCGTGTTTTAGACCGTGATGCTTTGACACTATTAACATGAGATCGAGCGATTGGTGCTGCATGCGATTTTGCCAGATCATTTGCCCATTCTTTTTCGTCGCTGGTGGTCGCTTCTCGTGCATGGATGGGATATAATATCTCCTCTTCCGGAGGTTGAGTGCCATACAGGAGGAAAAATGGACTATAACCTAGCGGCGAGATTCTTCTGTTAAAGATGAAAACAGCTCTGGCGAGAGCCGTTGCAAAAGGCATCGTTCTATTATCAAGCAAAGTACGACTTAAAATACCTTTTAGAATTCCATTTACTTGTTCAACTTTGCCATTACTCTGAGGCCGATTTGGGGTGGTGTGAGTCATGGTAAATCTGTATTGTCTCTGGAATTGTTTTGCTTCATTTCCTGTGAAGCAGTTTGCGTTGTCGCTGATTATCTGGTTTGGTGTAAGGGAGACGTCTCAGATAGGTAATATCACTGGGTAGGAGTTATGATATACAGGTAGCTCGAATAAGTAAGTAGTCTCCAACAGGTAATTAAGATACAAGAACGTCGTATGCCCAATCCTACCAGCAGTAAAGCGACTAGTTATACTCTAGGTAAAAGTGAACTGGAGCTTCCTCCCAACTCATACAATAGCTCAACGTTACATGAGATAAACCCTGAACTAAACCTATGTGGTAACCAACCCATTACATGGCCCACCAACGCATATGCTATACGCTAATACTAGTATTTGGCAGGGGATGATGTTGATCCAGATGTATTCCCTGACATTTGGGGTGCCAAAAGTTTGAAATATATAGAGAAGTAAGGGTACTGTACATTCGAAATCAGCATTTAAGACAATGCGTGACTCCAACCAGCCAGTGGCATATTCGACTGCATTGAGCAATATTCTTTGGCCCACCTGTGTGTGATCAATGCCCTACCGAGTCAAAGGAGGTGGTGGTTGGATTGGTCTAAGATTTCCAAGACTTGCGTCAGGAGTTTTCATCAATTGACATTGGCGGCAGATTCGAAGAACTTCGTATACTGCTAATGTCATCTCTGGGTGCAAGTATCTTTGACTTGCACTTCGTAAGGTTGTTCCCACTGACGCGTGCCCTTGGCTTTCATGCAGTAATTTCATATTTTGAAGTAAATCCTCGTACTCTAGTACTTCAAGAAATATTAAAACTCCAGGAGGTTTGGGAGGGTCGCCAAATTTGTTTGCTCTGTTGGTTTTTATCAAGTGCAATTTTTTGTCATATAATCCAAAATGTTTTCGAACCCAATCAGGATGAAGTTTAGGAGGTAGTTCTTTTTCCTGTACGAGAAATTCGAAGATGCATTGAAGATCAATTCGGTTTAGCTATTCTAGATATTCTACCTGTTTCAGTTCTGGTTCATCTTCTGTCAGATATGGGTTGTTGCCTTCCTCCTCTCCTGCAGGAAATAAATTTGTGGAATTAATTAGATTATCATTATCGTCATCAATATCATCATTATCATTATCGTTATCATTATTGTCATTATTGTCATCAGTGTTATTGTTGTTTTTAATTGGAGGCCTTGAGAGATAGTCTGCAAGCACATTTGCCTTTCCTTTGCGATAAATTATACGGATTCCATAGTGTTCTATTGAGTCTAAAAATCTCAAAATTCTTGCTGGCTGCTCTGACTTAGTTTGTATTGATTTTAGTGATTGATGGTCAGTGATAACAGTGACGCCAATGCTGTAACGAAAGTAGTATACATAGCAGTTCTCTCTCTCGTGCTGAGTATCTTTGCTGAGTATCATTCAGTTTCCGCGAAAAGTATGCTACAGGGTGTAAAAAAGAACGTTCTGAATTTTTTGCATTTAAATGAGGCTGCAAGAGCACAGCACCAATGAACCTTTGCGATGCGTCTGTTTCTAGGATTACGGGGAGTTGCCATTTGAATTTTTTCACCAGTGGAGTAGTTGTAAGAACTTTTTTGTTCTTGTTGTAGGAATCGATTGAATCTTTTGTTAAATTAACCGGCTGATTTTTTTGGCCGACGGACTGATCTGTTAGAGGACCAGCCAGTTCAGAAAAGTTTTTAATTAAACATCTTAGATAACCCGCAGCACTTACAAACCCTCGTACTTCAGAAGTTGTTTTAGGGAGCGGTCTATCGCGAATAGCAGCGACTTTTTCAGGATCCGCGGCTATGCCGTTTTCCGAAATTAAAAAGCCAAGGAAAATTCCGGATTTAACAAAAAGTCGACATTTTGAAGCATTTAGAATGAGACCGTAAGAAGTGAACCGATTTAAAATTAACATTAGGCGGGAGTGTAGCTCTTCAATAGTATCTCCCCATATGGCTACATCATCAAGCAGTCCAGCAGCAAATGATCGAAAAGGGTCGAGAACTTCTTCCATAAAATTTTGAAATGTTGCTGGCGCATTACACAGCCCAAAAGGCATCACTAACCATTCGAAAATTCCAAAAGGTGTAACGAATGCAGTTTTCTCATGATCTTGTTCGTGCATTTTTATGTGCCAGAAACCGTTTTCTAAATTCAAAAAAGCGTAGTATTTGTGTCCAGTAACACGCTGAATTTCGTCATATGTATTAGGTAGAGGATGGGCGTGTTTTTTTGTGATTCTATTCAGCTCTCTATAATCAACACAAATACGCCATATGGTTTGGTTACTCTTATTGTTTGTTTTCTTTGGAATAAGAACCAATGGAGCTGCCCAAGGTCCTTTACTTTTTTGAATAATAATACCTTCGTGTGATTTGCAGAATTCTCTAATAGCTAGCTGTTGTTGAGGACTATATCGTCGCGGCGAAATTTTGATCGGAGCGTGATCGCCAGTATTAATTTGATGGCTTACATTCGAAAGCTTGTCAACTTGGCGAAGTGACTTTTTGAATAGCGAGGGAAATTTTGTCAAATAGAAGTTACCAAAGTTAGAGCCTACTGTCGAAGTAGTTTTATGCCATTTAACAGTGGTTGTCTCAGAAGTCGGAAACGAGTGGTCAATTAATCTCGAGATATTCGCAATAGGTGCTAGGATTGGTTTATCTTGCATTTTGAGAAGTTGTAGTTAACCATCTTTTCGAAAGAGTAGTCTCAAGGAGTGAAAGGTAGTTTGACCAAGTATAAGGTCGCCTGGAAATGTTCCATCGGGAATTATCCCTGCTGAAACCGAGAAAATAGGAGACCATTTATTGACAGAAGTCAGAAATTGAAGATGGATTAAAACATCTTGGATATTCTTAGGGCCTTGGCC